GAGTGCTGGGATTACAGGAGTGTGCCACCATGCCCGGCCAAATCTAATTCTCTTAAATTTTAATGTGGCAATCTTTTAAAATAATTACTATTTTAGAAGACTTTTTCTGTAATATCCCAAATTACTTTTATAGTTGTAATATGCTGTATTTTAAGGTTCGTGCCCAAAATACTATTTTTATGCATTGTAGACCTAAGAAATTTGGTTTCTGTGCCTTTCAGCAGATAAGTTAGTACGGAAAACTCTTGTGCTTATTTTAGAATTTAAGAGGCTTTATTTATACGTAAAATAACCATAGAAAAGTGTTTTTTAAAATCCCTCTAGGTATTTCTAGTGAAAATTAAGGGACTCAATATGAGGACTGAATGTGAGTTGCTGAAAAACATTGCTTTCCTGACCCCCGTATTTGCTCTTCCTATCCCTCAATTCATGCTGAGGATTGGTGGTGGTGGTGGCTTTTTTTCCAATTTTTATTTCTCATTAGTACGTGCTTGTGGTTCATGATTACATTCCTCATGGGGTACATTTTAGGTCTTTATCCATCCCTTCTTCTGCTCCTCCATCTTTTTTTTTTTTTTTGCACCAGGGATAGAACTCAGGACTGTGCACTTGTGAGGCGGGTGGAACCACTGAGCTAAATTCCCGGCCCTCCTCCCTCCATCTCTTGATCCTCTCCCCATTTGCAAAAGATCTACCTCCCTATTTCCTGTTATCTATTATTTTGCTCTTTATATTTTAGGTTTCTCATATAAAGAGAAACCATGTGATGTTTTATAAACTTGTCTGATTTATTTTACTTAACATTATGGTCTCACTGTGCATCTATTTTCCTACAAATGATTCCTTTATTCTTTTTGGCAGAGTAGTATCTGTTGTTATATAAAAAACACATTTTCTTTATCCATTCATGTTTTGATTGGCATACAGGCTGCTTCCAAGATTTAGCTAGTAAGAATTGTGCTGCTGTAAATATCTTTAACTCTTTTTGGGAAGATACCTAGAAATATTGTTCTTTAACCTATGTAAGACACAGACTTATTCACAGAAGCAGTAATAGAGTGTTAAATGTTTTGTTTCACAAAGTAGGACACTGTATTATGTTTTAAAAGCTAATTCAGCCTCGAGCCATAAAGCTGAATATGAAGGCAGTAGAAATGTCATTAAAGTTTTATTAGGAAACATTGAAATAAAAGTAAAATTAACATTTCCTGTGGAGAGGCTGCAGAGCTGGTTTGAGGGCCAGGTAATTCCTATACACTTCCACAATTTTCACAGTAAAAATCCTTTACCCTCTCATAGTCTAGATTATTCTTTGTAAATGAGGGAGCTTGTTTGTCCTTCAGGCTAGAAATGCTAATTTAGAGAACAATTTATTGGGCGTAATGATAGATGATATCAACAAAGTTAAACACATTTTGAAGTTGAGCCTAAAGGTGCACACCTGTAATCCCAGCTACGCGAGGTGATGGGAGGCCAGTGTGGGCAAATAAGCATCTCAAAGTAAAGTGAAAAGATAAATTAATTAAAAAAGGATGGGGATGGAGCCGTAGCTTAGTGGTGGAGAGCTGGCAGCAGCCCTAGGTTCAGTCTGCAGTATTGCCAAAAATAAGTAGAAAACTATATGCTTTACCTAATCATGTACTGACTCGCGTATTAGGTGTGATATGATGCAGGAGCACTTAGGAGAATTTTTGATCCAGCTTACGAGCTCTTAGTAAAATCACTTGGTTTAGCAGCTGGGGCAGAGACAATAGTTTATGGAAAAAAAGGGTTTGCCACTGATTTCACAGCTAGATGAGAAAAATAAGGTCAAAGTAATAAGCTATTTGCATTTCTGTTTAGGTTGTGATTTGTATTATAATTTATATAAGTAAAACTATTATAAGAATAAATGGTTTATTTTTCCATTGTTGCTTTTTTCTTATTTGATATAAGAAATTCAATGGCTATGGCTATGAACAAGCCATTTAATCTTTGGGCCTCAGTTTTCTTTTTTCTTTTTGACAGCTGCTTCACAGATTGTTGTGATAATTAAATCAGGAAATGTATAAAACTATTTAAATTGTATAGCAGTGTGCCAAGAAAGGCACTGCAATAGATGCAATTTACTATTTTAAAACATGCATTTTACTTCTTAGGTCCAGATAGGCTGCATTTAAACAGTATTCCTGGTCAGCCCAAGAAAGAGAACATTATAGGATTACTCCAGAAAACTGATGCTGTTTCATGTGACCCAAATGAAAATAAACCTGTCGTTAATAAAATCCAGGAGGCATCGAAACAGTCTCAGGAGAAAATCATCACGTATGTAACTCTTATCTCCTGGTTATGGGGTCATGTTGGGGTATGGTTTTGCTTTTTCTTGCATGTGAAATATTTGCTCTAAAGACTCAGAGCTGTTTAAAAGCTTGTTAATACTTTGTAGTTAGTCATACAGAAACGTATGATAAAATTTGTTATTTCTTTTTGTGTTTTACTTCAGAGAGAATGAATGGAAACCAGCTGACATTTTCAGTACTCTTGGTGAAAGGGAACGTGATAGAAGTTTATTGGAAGCAAAAAAAGCCCAGTGGAAGAAAGATCTAGGTATGTAATTTTTGTACCTTTTATTGTTTTGTTTAAAGGTTATATAGTGAGAAGGAAATAAAATCTTTTACTGTATTATCAAATGGCTTTTATTACATTTGACTAGAATACTTCTCTGTAAACGCATAAGCTCTATGGTTTCACTTTGCTTTTAGTTGTGTCTTGTTTGGTACTGTGTGGTATGTCCTCAAAGCATTAATGTTACTGGTGTGCTCTTCTGGAGCCACTGTAACACAAGCAAAGTTTCTTAAACTTTCAACGTTTATGCTTTCTGTTACAGAAATCCTATAGATTTATGGATAGTTTTATTTAAAAATAACTGACTTAATAACTGAAACAAGCTTATTGCTGTCCGCCTGTGTCTTAATTTTCTCTTTGCTTAGACAAAATACTTGACACGCAAAGTTAAAGGAGAAGAGGTTTATTGTAGTTTACAGTTTGTAGAGATTTCAGTTCATGGTTGGCTACCTCCAAGGCAGGGTGGCACAGCAGAGGGGCATCACAGAGGAGAAACAGTTCATGGCTGGCAGAAGGCAGCAAAGTAGTGAAGCAGCAGCAGCAGGCCTGCCTTCTCCCTGTCCTTTTATATCCACCTAGGCCATCAGCCCTTTGGGTGGTGCCAGCACACTCAGAGTGGGCCTTCCTGTTATCCACACACAACTATGCCAAACCGATCAGTGAACTAAAGTCATAATCAGCCTCGATCCTGGCATCCCATACTTAATCCTGGTATCACACACTAGATCCAGGCACCGTTGGAAAGCCCCTGCTATAACAACATTAGGCTTTGGGGGGACATCTACACGTAAGTCATAACAGCTTGAGACTCTAATAACAGAAAAATGTATACGTTGTATTAGAATCATGAAACTTTGTTAATAACTAAGAACACCCATTGTTTGTTAGACTAGACTTAAGGTCTGGATATCACAATTTGGAAAACATGGCTTAGCATTTATACCTCTTGAGAATAGATATACTAAAAAGCATGAGACAGCCTTAGCCTCCTTGCAACTGGAAAGTTACTAACTCTGATGGGAGAGAGGATGGTTTAGAAAAACAAATGAGCAACAGAAGGAAGGAATGAATTGATATTAGAAGTCAGGATAATAGAGGGAGGAAGAAATTAAATTTGTGGTAGTATTAGAAGGGCATCTCTTTAAGTCACATTTTCATTGTCTTGGAATTTAAATGTATATACATCTTTGAATTTTGTATTTAAGGAACTGTTGATGATTTGAGACTTACTTTTCATTCTATCTGTTAGATGTAAGTTTTTTTTCAAAAATTATGAAAATAATGACCAACATATTTACTTTGTGGGAGACCAATAGGCACAATTGTTCTTGTTTTGCAGAAAAAACTAAGGTTCAGACAGGTTAACAAGCAGTTTTCCCACAGTCACATAGTTTGGAAGCGTTTGAACCTGAAATCAACCCTAGTGTTCTCTGCCTTCAGAGATCTACGTTTTTAATTGTTTTAGTGATAACTGATGAGTGAATAGGAAAATAGAGTATCACCATAATTAATATAAACTTAAGTTATTCTGAAAAATTATTCCATACTGATAACCGTGTTAAAGTTCTTATGTCCATTTGTGCTGTATTTAAATTTGGTTTTTATTGTTTTATTTCATATCCCAAATTCTTCTCTACTTTCTGAGTTAAAATCCCTAAAAAAAACAATTTTTATTAAATCTATGTTGAAATCTGCACTCTTTAAGAAGGTCACGATTTGTTTACGTGATTCTTTTCTTACAGTTTTGTACATTTTTTAAAAAAGGACATTATTTACAGATGAACAGGTTGCTTTAAAGAAGAAAGAAAAAGAAGCTTCAGAAAAACAGAATAATTCTTGGAAAAAATCTGAAAATGACAAAATGACATGGGAAAAACTTCTTGACTACTTTAGGGTAAGTGTATTGAAGTCAAGTGTTTTGTCTGATGTCTTAACCTGTCTTAACAAAAGACATGTTATTTACAGTTTTTAAAATGCTAGACAGTGATGACAAACCTTTTAAAGCTTTCGATGGTAAGAGCAGCCCACTGTGACGTGTGCCATAGTTTGCCACCGCTGTGCTAGAATAGCCACAGTACAAAGCTCATTTTAAAAGCTCAATTACTAAAACAAAACAGAAATCCCTACAGCTTGGCATGGTAGCACAGGACTGTGATCCCAGTGGTCTAGGAGGCTGAGTGAAGCGGGAGGACTGCAAGTTCAAGCCCAGCCACAGCTACTTAAGTGAGACCCTGTTTCAAAAAAAAAAAGAGTGAGAAAATATTTAAAAAGGCATTCTGTATGACACTAATTAAAATAAAAAAGATAAAAAAATTTAAAAAGGGCTGAAGATGTAGTTCGGTATGAAGACCCTGGTTTGATCCTCAGTATTGCAGAAAACAAAACTGTTCATACAGTGTTTTAATAATAGTATTTTATATTTAATTATGATCTGAACTAATGTCTATTTGCATTCTATAACTTGTTTTCCCATGTTAGTAGGTAAGTGTAGAGGCCCCTAGCATGTTCTTTAGGGTCTTATATAGGAGAGTTGCAGTTTTTAAAATGGCATAAAACTCTGCCGCTAACCATGTGATACCATTGACACAGTGAAGCTGATACATACATGCTCGTGGTTGCTATATCAACTATCTTTTCGGTAGTGCTTTGGTGATGTTTAGTTTTGGTTTTTTGTTTTGTTTCGTTCCGGGGATCGAACTTGGAACCTTATGCTTGCGAGGCATCTGCGGAACCACTGAGCTAAATCACCGGCCCTTGTGATGTTTAAGTTTTGTATCTTTAATTTTAGGTAGAGAAAAGGCACCCTTGTTTTTTATTTTTTTTTTAGACTTCTGCCGGTTCTTCAGATGTGTCACAGTCTCCTTGTCAGGTTATGGTGGCCCAGGCTGATGGGCCTTCGTTACATAAAGCTAGTGAGTTTTTAGAGGTAAGTTCTAACTGTCATTACTTTGAATATTTAAACCTTCTAGTAGTTGATTTCTCTATGACCTGTTTTCCTTAAAGTAGTGATTCTACTTTCTCTTAACTTTTAATTACAAAGTATCTTTTACTGATTGTATTATGTAGCTCCTTAAATTTGAAAAAGTTATTAACACTTGTTTTTTACATGTACATGCCCTCCTGGCCTTGTGAATATTTATATGTTAACAAGTATATTTTGAAAATAATGCAGTAATCTAATGAGGTGATGCTGATGTTGGAAATTTAACACCGTGGCCTAATTGGGTCCTCCAAAATGTCTTATAAACAAATACCCCAAATCAAATCTGAAACACTTCTGGTCCCCAAGCATTTCAGATAGAGATATTCAACCAGTACAATGCATTACAAGTGGTAGTGCAGGTCTGTAATCCCAGCATCATAAGGAGGCTAAAGCAGGAGGATCACAAGTTTGAACCCAGGGGAAGCATGATCCTCTCTCAAAATAAAAATGGCTGGGATTTAGTCAGTGTGAAGGTCCTAGGTTCAGTTCCCAGTACTGCAAACCAAACCAAACCATAAAGTTTGCTCTCCCCACCTACCCTTTTGCCTTTTCCTGCTTGGTATTTTTCACTCTAAAATTGGCTAGTAAAAGTAGCTAGGGTATGAGTTCCAATTTCTTTGAATATGCTGATAACTGTATATACATGAGAAAATCAAAGTAGCATTTGCTTACATTGCAAGTGAACATAAACACTGTATTTTACCTTTTATCATAATCTTAATAGAATTATGAAATTGACCATCAGTTTTTAAATCTTTGAAAACATTATTGGCAGGCTTATAATACACATGTCTTAAGAATCTACGTGTTTGCTCCAAATTTACCCTTCTATAAGTTGTGATGCTGCTGTGGAGAGGGGATGTAGGATATTACATGTTGCCCAGGCTAGTCTGGAACTTGTGGGTTCCAATGAGATCACCTGGGTCTCCTGAGTAGTGTGTGGATTTTTAACCACTTCTCTGATTATCCATGTGGCGTCTTTTTAGTGTCCTTCAATAGTATTAGAAGTTACCATTCCCTAATAAGCTTCACCTTTTTTCTGTATCCTGTCTCTGGCATGTTGCCACTTCTACAGTACCATATTCTTTTTCATTAATGCTTTTCATCTTTCATTAGCTACTTATTAACTTATTTTTATAGTTTTCATTAAAACAACTCTAGAAGTTTCTTTGCTTGACTAAAAAAATATAGTGTACCATTTTGATACTGCTTTTAGAAAAAGCAGTGAATAAAATTGAACAACAGTTCTTTAATGAAAAGGCCACAGGAAATTAAAACTGAAGGAATTTGTAGTTGAATGGCAGCGGGCAGGTGTGGTGCTGCTGAAATAAATCCCTGGCCCTGAATTTTTTTTTTTTTTTTTTTTTTTTTTTTTGAAATGAAAACTTTTTGGCATTGCAGGGCTCTGTCGCAAATAAATTCTATGTTCATAATGATATCTTCAGATACCAAGATGAAGTCTTTGGCGGCTTTGTTACTGAGCCTCAGGAGGGTAAGTAGTAAAATGCTTTCGCTTACTTGCGGGCGTTTCTTTTTTTTTTTTTTTTTTTTTTAATTTTGGTACCAGGCATCGAACTTGGGGCCTTGTGATTGTGAGACATGCGGCAGCACCACTGAGGTAAATCCCCGGCACCCCTGAATATTTTCTAATTTAAAAAGAGGTCATCCTAAATGAGAAATCTAAGAAATATTCCATTTAAAACGAGAAGTTAGGTAAGATGCCCACATAATTTTACTGTTTGTATTGGTTCTAACCAGTGTAGCAAGACACATTTAAAGCATTAAAATTACAATGTGCTAGAAATATACTAAAATTAGAAAAAAATGAAAGTGTAATTGTCATTTATATAAAACATAAGGAATCTGATAAAATGTTAGAAGTAAAAATGAGCTATGTGCTACATGCTAGGCCATAAAAGTTTCAACAGATTTCACAGGTTCAAATTAAACTGACTTTGTTATTACCAGGGAGTTAAGCTTCATATCAGTAACAGTGATCAGAATATTCCCAAATATATATGAACAGTGTATTTCTGAATAACAGAAAAACATACCGAAAATATTTTATCAAGTGATAATGAAAATATCTGTCAAAATGTGTTTCCTATGCTTAAATTTATATCCTTAAATGGATATCTTAAAAAGTAAGACAGTGATCTAAGTATTCATCTACAGAAGGTAGAGAAATAAAAACGAAAATTAAACCCAGAGGGAAGATCAGAGTGGATATTATTAAAATTGGAAACATGTAGGGTGGTTAAGAATTAAAGCCAGAAGTTCTTTGAAAAGTTACTTAACTTGTAAAACCCTCACGAACCTGGCATATATTTACAGGTATCACTAAAGAGTGTATGGAACCAGGGGTTTATTTAGCTCAGTGGTTACACCGCCGGCTTTGCAAGCACAAGGTCCTGAGTTCAATCTCTACTACCAAAAAAAACAAAAAGTAGTATGAGGATATTAAGAATTGCTGCTGATATTAGAGATATGATGAAAAATGGCTAATTATTGGAAAAACATTAAAACTTGGGGAGAAGTGGTGAGTTAGAATGGTAATGTGTTTGGTAAAGAAATTGAATCCATAAAAAAACGAAAGAACAAACAAACCTGGAAGTAAACCCCAGGCCCAGATCCATGTATTGTTGTATTCTTCCTAACAACTGAGGTAGAAAAGAAAACTTCCCAGGCTGTTTGAGGTTAGTAAGTAAACCTGATATCTAAGCTGACAAAATATTTTTGATATGAAAATCTGACAAGAAATAGAAAAATTATGATCAGAATCAGTTGAGTCTACTTAAGGAATGCAATCTAGGATTAACATACATAGTGATGTTCATATTTATGGAAATAACTTTACTCAAGATGGCTCAGTTGAGATTAATACACACACGTCACTAGCACAGCAATGAAAAATTGACCCATGGAAAAGGAACTGATGGATGACCTAATCAAAAGGTTTTCTCTTTGAATATTACTGTGAAGATTGTAAAGAGAGGGAAAAAGGGATAAAGGACTTATATCACAAATGTGGATTTTAAAACTCAAAAATCAAAAACAAAAAAAAATCCTTAAAAAGCAGTCAACCCAATGTTTAGAATTTGGCAGTGAAACATTTGGAATAGGCATGGCTGAGAAGATGGCTTATTACAAAACATGTAACAAATTGGGATTTTTAACGGTATGTAAGCCTGTAAAGGTCTTCTAGTCCCAGAGGGTTTTAAAATATATTTTATTTATTTGTTTATTATTAATACATGTTTGCAGTGTATGTAGTTTACACCCATCTTGGGGAGTGGTTACATGTACACACTACAGTTTGTTTCTTTTGTTTTTTTAATCCCTTCCCTCTCCCTCCCTCCCCCTCCAATTCCCCATCCTATTTGTCATTCCTAGTGATATTATTAATCTTAGCTCATGTTATAGCATATAATGTTTACATTAAATTCTGGAAGGCTGGGGATTTAGCTCAGTGGTGCTGTCACCTGCCTCACAAGCACAAGGACCTGAGTTCGGTCCGTAGTACCAAATAAATGAACTTCTGGAAATTAATGACAATGACAGTACAACTTGTGGAAATGTCTGGGACACTATGAAAGCAGTTCTAAGAGGAAAATTCACCACAATCAGTGTTTAAATTAGGAGAACAGCTCAAATAGACAACCTTATGAGAAATCCTAAGACATTGGAGAAACAACAATAAACCAGCCCTAGGACAAAATTAAGGGGAGAAATTGTAAAGTGGAAATCACTGAAATTGACACTAAAAAAAGTTTTTAAAATCACTGAATCCAAAAGCTGGTTCTTTCAAAGAATAAATAAAATACATAATCACTTAGCCAAGCTTACCAAGACCAAGCTTACCAAGAGAAAGCAAGAAAAGACATCAATGCGATTAGAAATGAAAAAGGTGAAATTACACAGACACTGTGGAAATCTAGAATAACTACTTTGAAAATTCTAACAGATTAGCAAATTTTGAAGAAATGGACGGATTCCTAGACATATTCAAACCACCAAACTTCCCAAGGAGACATAAATATACTTAAGACTCAATAGTAAGCAACAAAATTGACACAGTAATAAAGATATAAGCCCAGGACCTGATGGGTTCACTGCAGAATTTTACAAAACCTTTAAGGGGGTTACACCACCAGCAGACCTTGTCTCACTTTTCTCATTGCTGAGACAAAATACCTGATGCCCAAGTTACAGTTTGTATAGGTTTCTGTTCATAGTTGGCTGGCTCCAAGGCAGTGGCATGGCAGAGGGCATCGCAGAAGCGAAGTAGCAGCAGCAGACCCGCTCACTCCCTTTTATCCCTTCTAGGCTTCCTGCCCTTTGGGAGGTGCCACCAATCCCGGTGTCACACATCCTAGATCCTGCCACCTCCGAAAAACTCCACCTGTGACCACATAAGGTTTGGGGGAACATTTAGACATAAGACATAACATTGTGCCCCTGGCTCTCCAAAGACTCATCAATATCCCTTTATGCGAAAAGCATTTAGTCTATCTCCAAAAGTTGCCAAAGTCCTAACAGTTTCAGCGTTGCTAATTCTAAAGTCTAAAGGCCCCAAGGCAAATTCTTAGTTGGAAGCCTCTGTAAAAATGAAAAGAAAGTTAAACAATTCCAACACAGATTGGAAAAAGATAAAACATTACCACTCCAAAAGGTACAAAGAGATGGGTAGGAAGCAAGTCCAAAATCCAGCAAAGCAAACATTAAGTCCCATAATTCCATGTCCAGCATCGGATGCAATGTGTGGCAAGATGTGAATTTCAAAGGCCCCGAATGGCTCCACCCCCATGGCTTCTCTCCTGGGCCAGCTTTGCTCACTCGTTGCAGCTTTCCTCAGACAGTCTATGATGCTGGTTACTCCAAACTTTTGGGGTCTCAACTGTAGTTTTGGTTTCACACTCACATCTTCACACACAACCCCTGCCTTCTCAGGGGCACACTGCCTGGCCTCCCAGGCCTTCTGAAATCTGTGTGGAAACCTTCCTGACCCCACAACTCACATATTCTTCATGCACCTAACATCAATTCCAGGGTCTGCCACCAACAGCCAGGCTTCTTTTTCTCTTGAGTGTAAGGGTCAAGTACCTGGATCATTGAGCAGTCTGAACCCAATCCTTAAGAACAAATTCTCTCGACGGCTGCCATTTTAGAACATGGCACTCTGGGGCTCTCTTGCCACAGCAATTACTTCACCTTGCAACAGTGAGACTGCAAAAGCTAGAGACATGCTGTTTTTTGTGATGTCCCCAGGCCATCTTTTCCATTGTCCTGTTCTTTCTTAGCAACCAGGTTCTCTGCTCCTTCTCAACACATCATCTGGCCAAAGGCCCTGAACAGTAGCCATGCCACCACCTCAACATGAGACTGCCTTGAAATTTACTCTGCAAGATTCATTAGTCCACCACCCACCGTCTCCAGCAGTCTCTGCACATGTGCAAAATGCAGACAAATTTTCTGCCAAAGCCTAACACACGTGATCTGGAGTCCAACAGCCAATGCAGTCCTTCCCAGCAGAAACCTCCTGAACTTGGTCATTACTGGCAGCATTTCCATCAGCATTCTGGTCTTGAGTTCTGATCAGTATCTCTCATCAAGTTCAGCTTACGCCATTCCAGGGCTGCTGCTTTACCTGTCATCTCCAGAACCTTCCACACTCTTTCCACAAATCAATTCCTAAGGCTCCCGAACTACACAGATACAGCCAGTGTAACAACCCCACTCTTGGTACCAAAATCTGTATCAGTCAGTGCTCATAGAGCAAAAGATTTAATGGAAGATATACAAATATAGAAGAACTTAAAAGATTGGCTTGTAATGGCTGCCCACAGAGCTGTGGAAGGGTGCAAAAGGTCTTTCTGTGTGATAGAGATATGAAGGATCCATTCAAAGACCTGGAGCTCACTAGTGTCCAGTGCGAGTGTGTATCAGGAGGCTAAATGGTCTGTGCTAGAGGCTGAAGAGTGTCCACTGGAAGCTAGGAGACAACATCCAAGATAAGGCAAAGACAGGTTCCTCAAAAAAAAAAAAGAGCATGTAATCCCAGCACTCGGGAGGCTGAGGCAGGAAGATCACTGTGAGTTCGAGACCAGCCTGGGCTACACAGTGAGTTCCAGGTCAGTCTCAACTACATGTGAGACCTCAAAAAAAAAAGCAAGCCTGCCTTTTTTGTTTCCCTTTTATACCATTCTGGTGGCAATCCTCGTTAGGGTGGGTCTTCCACACGCAGAATTATGCTCAGCCAATTCCGTTGGGTGTTTCTTACTCAAGTTGACCCAGTCAGTTAACTGTCACACTCCTCAAGTTCTTCAAAGAAACAAAGAGATGGGATGCTCCCAAACTCATTTGTGGAAGCTAGTATCATCCTGATCCCTAAACTAGAGACCCAACTAAAAAAAAAAAAGAAAACTATAGGCCAGTCTCCTTAATGAACATAGATGCAAAAATCCTCCCTAAGATGTTAGCAAATAGAATGCAGCACATTATCAAAAAGGTCATACATCTTGGTCAACTAGGTTTCATCCCAGAGATGCAAGGATAGGTGGTTCATCATAAGTCCATAAATGTAATGCATCATATAAGCAGAGACTAGATCAAAAATCATATTACCATATTAGTAGATGCAGAAAAGGCTTTTGATAAAATCCAACACCCCTTTATGATAAAAACTGTGAAGAAAACAGGTATAGAAAGGCCGGACCTGAATATGATAAAAGCTTTATGTGACAATTTTTGTGCTAAATGGGAAAACACTAAAAGCATTCCCCCTAAAACCAGGAATAAGACAAGGATGTCCACTATCACCTCTTCTGTTCAATATAGTACTTAAAACAGAGCAATTAGGAGAAAGAAAAGAAATACAAGGAAGGAAGAAGTCAGATTTGTTGATGACATAACTCTGCATAGAAGATCCAAAGAACCCCACGAAAAACTCTTAGAATTAATAATGAATTTCAGCAGTGTAGCAGGATATAAGATTAACACACAAAAATCATTAGCATTTATGTACACCAGCAACAAACGGGATGAGAATGAAATTATGAAAATGATACCATTCACAGTAGTTTCAAGACAAATGAAAAACCTAGGAATTAACCTAATCACAGAAGCAAAAGACCTATACAAAGAAAACTACAGTACTCTGAAAAAAGGAGATTGAAGAGAACATCAGAACACGGGAAGATGTTCCCTGCTCCTGGATAGGCAGAATATTGTCAAAATGGCCATACTTCTAGCCGGGCGTGGTGGTGCACACCTGTAATCCCAGCACTTGGGAGGCTGAAGCAGGAGGATCGCTGTGAGTTTGAGACCTGCTTGGACTACACAGTGAGTTCAGGTCAGTCTCAACTACATTAGTGAGAACCTGTCTCAAACAAACAAAAAATGGCTGTACTCCTAAATTACTCCTAAAGTAATTTTTAAAGGTGATTTCCATTCTTGTTTTGCTGTTCATTTTGCAAGATCCTTTTCTATGCCCTGGACCCTCATGACCCAGGCCTTTTCTGCTGCCAGGTTGTCAAAGTGGGAAGGTGTATGGTGTCTTGAGTGAGGAAGCTTTTGCTGTCTTTTCAAAGTTGCCACTGACTATTAACTTCCAAACCTTCATTTTTACAGATTTCAAATGGAAAGAAAATTAAATACTTCTTTTCCTTATATTTGGATGTCATATTCCTCTACTGAGTTATGTTTAAAATATGGCTCTTAGAATCAGAATGTATCTTAATAGTAAAGTAAAATGCTTTGAAGTTTTTCTAGAAATAAATGCCTTACTAGGATAAATCAATTTAAATGACTGGCAAATTTTCCGGTAATAAAGTAGCTAGAAAAAGAGAATTGAACTTCAGTTGGTGTGATAGTTGTTTAGGAAGCAGTCTTGCTGGAGTTGAGTGAACAAATAGAAGATGACAGCAGAGGAAGAGAGGAAAGATTTATATATTCAAAGGTAACAGAGGGCTGGGGATTTAGCACAGTGGTTCCAGCACCTGCCACACAAGCACAAGGTCCCGAGTTCGATTCCCCAGTACCCCCACCCACCCAAAAAAACAAACAAACAAAAAAACCCACAGGTTTTGTGGTTATAAAGGAAAAATTAATTTCAGTCTTTGAGCATACAAGCTTACAGATATTCTGAAATGACTAGATCAGAGTATTTAAATTCTACATTTGCCACTGACCTGTTTTCATCGAATTATTTAGTGTGATTTTATGTATTTCTTATAATTTTTAAAGAAATTTCTTGACTCTTTGAATTTCTTACATTTTCTAAGGTAGTTGTCCAAATATACAAGGAAATGAATACAATAGTTTTAATTTTTATGATTCTTATTCTGCTTAGTGGTGACATTTAAAAATCATGTTTGTCATCTAGGATTCTACATGAATAATTGGAAAATTTCTTAGCAATTCTGTCTGGCACAATTAGGGTGAAGAACATGACAGATGGGCAGTGCATTTTGATTCATTAAAGAGCCACCCGGGTTCTCAGTCTCAGCTGTCCTGTCAGTCTCACCCAACGCACAAACAACCTGAATACTTCAGTGTCTCTCCTGATACTCGGGAGCTGGTTGATGTTGGCAGTGTTTCTACACCTACAACTGGAAGCCAGCGTGAACCATCAGAGGCGGAGCAGGTAGCAAAGCCTGTTAGGGACGTAGCTGTGGCAAACGGTCAGAAAACAAAGTAAGTTCATTCTTCAGCTATTTATTGATTTTCAACACACTGCGTGTGTTTTAATAGGTCTGTTAATATGTCTAATTGGCTACAGGTTTGGTATTTTTCTTTGAAATAGAAATGATTAGTAGATGTTTCTACAGGAAGCTTTTTTGGAGTTCTAAATATTTAATATATCTTGTCAGCTTTCTCCGTTCTATGACTGCTCTGTTGGACCCAGCACAGATTGAAGAACGGGACAGACGGCGACAAAAACAGTTAGAACACCAGGTATTACACAGTATAACATTGATCTTTGCCTTAGTAAGTAATACTCATGGCCAACACATACCTAAGCAGACGAAAATTAAAATACTGATATAATTTTATTGTAGAGGCCCTGTTCCATCCTATAAGAATCCAATCCCTGTCCCAACTGACATATTACAATTAAGTTTATGCAAAGAACCAGATATATATTAGAGCTGCCCACCTTGCAGTAAGTCTCCATATATAAGCTATAAATCAGGCATGGTGGTACATGTCTGTAATACAAGCACTCAAGCAAGAGGATTATAAAGTCAAGCCCAGCCTGGGCAAATTAATGACTTGACTTAGCAGGACCATGTCTCAAAATAAAAATTTTTTAAAAGATTTTTAAAAGGGTGTGTGGCGGGGGGAAGAGGTATACAGATACTCCTCAGTGACCTACTTAGTTGACAACCTACCTAGTTAATGACTTTTCAGACTTAAAACCGAGCTATACTGTTTGGACTTAACACCACCCACCCCACTGTTGGTACAGTACACCTTGTTTTATAGTATTGTAATTTTTACTGATTGTATAGTACTATAGTTTTGTATTTTTACACATTACAATTCTACATGTAAGAGTTATGCCCCCCCCAAAAGTAAAGTAATGAAGTTGAAGCTTCTGTTGACCATTGCTTTGTTATGAATACAATTCCTCATTTAGCAACCAATTAATTTTAATGACCTAGTCACAGGAAATGGATTTGGTCATTAAATGAGGACTGTTTTAGAATCTGTACTGTTTTTTATTGTATTAGCATATTTTTTGTTTTGTTTTTTGAGACAGGGTCTCAGTATTTGTTCACGCTGATCTTGAACTCACTATGTAGCCCACTCTGGCCTTGAACTCAGAATTTATTCTGCCTAAGCCTTCCAAGTGATGGAATTACAGGCATGTGCCACCATGCCCAGCTAATGTTAGGTATTTTTTCATCATTTTCTTTCCTCAGTGTTCTGTTCAGGTTAATGATTAATTGAAAGGGATTAGAAGCAGAATTATGATTAAGAAATCCAGAAAGTAATATAAACACCTAAGATTGAAACTCTCCCAATTTTAGTCTAATACTAAAGACACTTAAATATCTAAATTACTTTTTGTTGCCTTTTTTTTTTGTTCTCTTCAGGCCAACGCTCTCCCAACTATTTGGCCTTGTTTTTCTTCTTAAATCAAAATTTTCTTTCGTTTCTTGAGATGGAGAGGACTTGCTATGTTGCGCAGGTGATGTCTTCTAGATTCCGGGCTCAAGTGAGCCTCCCACTTCAACTTCCAAGGTAGTTGGGACAATAGGCATGTGCCAACCTGAATAATTCTGTAACTGTAGCTTTTAATACATGAGCAATTCGGCATAACTTGCACTTTTATTTCATTTGTTGAACAGTTCATCATAGACCATTTGTCATTTACCAGACATTATGCTAATTAGAATATTTGTCAGTTTTCCTATCCTAGTAGCCTTCCTGGGATTGAAGCAAAAAAAGCATGTAGAACTTGAAGAAGGGAAGAAATACATTACAAAATTTGATTATTTTAAACTTTAGTCATACGTAGTATTTCCTCTATACAGTACTGGTAAAACTTTATTCTGAGTCACCAAAACAAATGTTTCATAGATTTTTGTGGCAGTGATTTATGTGATTATGTCTAGAAAGCAATCACTGCTCAGGTAGAAGAGAAACGCAGGAGGAAACAATTGGAGGAAGAGAAAAGAAAGAAGGAAGAACAAGAGGAGGAACATCGCTTGGCAAGAGAACAAGAAGAGATGCAGAAACAGTATGAAGAAGACATACTAAAGCAAAAACAAAAGGAAGTAGGTCTTTATATTTTAACTGTTAACATTTCAGAATAAAAATGCACTTTGGAGAGCAATTAGAAGTTCAACATTTTTATGCAGTTTGAAATTTGGAAGCTATGTGTGGAGGCATTAAAGCTGGGTCTGAAGGAGCTTGAGAAAATTTTATTATTTCCCATGATACAGTTCTCAAATGCTGTATTGCTTTGGCTTTTTCTTTCTGGTAAGTGGGAGGTCAAGGTCATTTATAGCAGCAATTAAAAGTTACCTCATGCTTTTGATATCCTAGATGCTAGATTTATGCTTTATTTCTGAGCGTGATTATTATAGCTTAAGAGAAGTGATTGGCCTTTCTATCTATATCCGCCTATAAAATCCTTTTGTTTCTGACTGAAGTGGAAATTGAACCCAAGACCTTCACATTGAGCTACATCCCTAGCCTTTTTTATTTTGGGATAGGGTATTGCTAAGTCGGGCTTGAACTTGTGATCCTGCTCCCTCAGCCTGTCAGAATGCTAGGATTATAAGTGTGTTCCACCACGTCCAGCCCTGAAACATATTTTTGCAGAGTGACTGGAATTGGTAATACAGTTCATGGCTGTGTTAGTGATTTCCCCTGTGCTAAGTAACAGCCTTTTTAATTGGAATATATATCTGGTTGGCCAAGAGAACCCCTTTACTTAGTGATTCAGAAAGGGTAGATTTGGGTGGTATAAATGCCATGTTTGAGCTAGCCTGATAAAGAGCACTGACATTCAATCGCCAGCAATTTAAAGGTTTAAAAGAGTAGAACACGGGTGTGGAGGCACATGCCTATAGTGCCAGCAGTCTGTGGGTGAAGCAGGAGGATCACAAAGTTTGAGTTTAGGCAGGGTGATTTAGCAAGAAATTCTCTCAACTAAAAAAATAAGATGTAGCTCAGCATGAAGGCCCTAGGTTCAGTATCCTGTACCACAGAAACAAAAACAAACAACCCAGAAAAACCCAAAATACACTTTTTGCCTTTTCCTACTTTGTACCCTGCACTCCAAAATTGACTGGCAAAAGTGGATAGGGTCCAGGTTCCAGTTTATTGGAATATATATATATATCCCAATATCTACATCTAGGAGAAAACCAAAGTATCATTTGCTTACATTGTAAGTGACCATAAACACTTGTGTTTTGCCTTTTATCATTTACTTGTAATCTTAATAGAATTATGAGACTGGCCATCACTTTTTGAAACTTTCAAAAAATTATGGGTAACTTTTAAATTGATAAAAATAGTTCTTATATTTGTGATTATTAAAATGTAAGTTTCAGCCAGGAATGATGGCACACACCTGTAATCCCAGGTACTGGGGAGGCCAAGGGTCATAAGTTAAAGCCCACCCTGGCAACACAAGACCCTGTCTCAAAAAATAAAGGTAAGCTCCAGAAGGGACCCATTAACTCTTAAAACTTCAATTTAGACAGTACCTGACATACTGGAAAAGGTTAGAACATACTACTGAGACTAGTCAATCCTGTAAGAGGTTTGATAGTTGTTTTAATAACTTGGTACATGTCAATACTGATAGGAAATCATGACTCTCAAGACACATGAGCTATTCCAGACAATGAAGAGAGCACAGGAGCTGGCTCAGAGACTGAAACAAGAACAAAGAATCCAAGAATTGGCTCAAAAGGGACATGACACCTCCCGATTGGTTAAAAATCTTGGTGGTAAGTAATTAACCAGAATTTTATTTGTGATACTTTTTGAAGATGATTTTAAATATTTACCTATTTTTATTACGAATAAGGCACCTGAATGCATTTGGTAAGTAAATTTTTTTAAAAGTATTTCAGATCTTAAACGAATCTAACTTTTAAAACAAGTAGAAATTGCCTTAAAAGTAGAATGTTGTTATATTTTTCACAGTACAGTTATTGTGTGACACAGGTAAAAGGTGCTTTGTTCTCACTTGACTAATTACTAAGTTATCTCCCTAAATTTAGTGAATAAGAATACAAGTAACTTTTTGCAGGAAAATTTATGCGCTAATCTTTCTAAATGTTTGTTGTAGTAGTGTTCAAGCTGATTAAATTGAGTTGGGTTTACTTACTACTATACAGAATTTTTTTTAAAATTTTTTTTGCAGTGCTGAGAACTGAACCTAGGTCTATCATGTGTGCTAGACAGTTAGCCGTATCCCCAGCTCCCTATACCTAATTTCTTTTACTGATAATCCTGAAGTGCTGTTTTGAGATAATGTATTTCTCCTTGCCAGTTGATAAGGTACATGTGGAATATAATGCTTCTACTAACATTTCGAATTCAAGATATGACTCTGATGAAGCTGGTGGTAAAACAAACACATTTATCAGTTCTACTACGACTTCTCCCAAAAAGGATACTGGTGTGCAAACAGGTATTCATGTAGTAATTCTGATTAATTTTAAATTTTGAAATTAAAGTAAAAAAGCAACTAGCATGATGGTCCACTTAAAATCTGAAAGTTAAATTTGAAGTTTTTAAGAAAGTAAAGGCATCTGTTTTTGATTTTTCTTAAGTTTTGAGATACAAATCACCATGAAATTTACACTTTTAAAGGGTAAAATTCAGTTTAGGATTATTTATACTTGTGCAGCTATAACCACAATCAGTTCTAGAACCTTTCATCACTCAGAAGAAACTTAGTAACCCATTAGCCATTTTCTATTTCCTCTTCTCTAGTTCTTATTCTGTCTTGGAATAGTTGCCTATTCTGGATATTTTGTGTAAATGAAACACTGCCATATGTGACCTTTTTTTATGTCTGGCTTCTCTGACTTCAGCCATGCTGTCCTTCATGTAGTATAAATTCTCTTTATCAATATTTTGATTCCTTTTTGTTGTTGAATAATTTATCCCACATTTTGTTAGTTCATGAGTTCATGGAATTAATACTCATAGATAGTTGCAGTTCTCTTGGGATAGAGAATTGGTGAGTAGGTACTCTTTGCAGCATTTTGAGGAACTACCAAACTATCTGCCAAAACAACTGTACAATTTTACATTCCCACAAACACTGTATAAGGTTGTTGATTTCTCCACTTCCTTGCCAACAGATGTTTTAAATGGTATCTTAATGTGGTGTTGATTGGCATTTTCCCAGTGACTGGCAATATTGAGCATTTTATATATGCAAATGCTTTTCATAAAGTAACAAGGTAGTATCTATGTTGGGTAATAGGTCCCTTCAGCCCTTCCTGTTTTTAGAAATTTTTCATGGCAGAGGAGTAGAATCTGGCTACATCATTGCCCAGGATGGTCTTAAACTTTTGGGATCATTTGATCCTGCCTCGACCTTCTGAAAAGCCGGGACGACTACTGGCATACATACACTACACACTACTGCACTTAAGCTTTTCTTTAACTTCGTTACCACTTGACCTTGTCAAAACTAGTGGATCAAAAAACTACTGGCTCCTGGGGATATGATAGTAAGTTAGAAACAAAGACCAATTTCATTGGCCATAAATTAGGAAATAATATTGTTTAAACCACTCTAGTTCAGTAGTCTCAAACTCAAAATGTCTTAAGAAAATCCTAACATTACACTAGTTTCTGCCAGTTAGTTTTGGGCTTTATGTTATGTTTTTTTTTGTTGTTTGTTTTTGAGACAGGGTCTCACTATGTAGTTGAGACTGACCTGGAACTCACTATGTAGCCCAGGCTGGTCTCGATCTCACAGCGATCCTCCTGCATCAGCCTCCCGAGTGCTGGGATTACAGGCATGTGCCACCACGCCCAGCTTGGGCTTTATGTTAAATAAAACACCAGATTACCCACATTATGTGAAGTGCATGGTGATGGTCCATGTATGGCATTGTGGATTTGCTCAGTGCTACTGAAATACATGCTTCGAAATGATTAAAATGGAAGTTTTGCAGAAATTGCAACCTTTGTATACTACTACTGGTTGAAATGTAAAATGGTACAGCTGCTATAGAAAACAGTGTATGGCCTTTATTCAAAAAATTTTAAATGGAATTACTATCATCATCTAGCAATTTCACTTCCGGTATATACCCTGGAGAACTAAAAGTAAGGTCTCAAAGATCTACTTGGACACCTGTTATAGCAGCAACATTTACAGAAACTCAAAGGTGGAAGGAAGCAACCTGTCTGTACAAATGAATGAAAAAGTTGCGGTATTTACTATACAATGAAGTATCATTCAGCATTACAAAGTTCTCTTACATTCTACAACATGGATGAACTTTGAGTACTCTATGCTAAGCGAGTAAGAAAGTCACAAAGCAAACAGAACCCTAATTATCTGAGGTTTCTACAGTTATTCAATTTATAAAAACAAAATAAAATGGT